TGCTGAAATCAAACACAGAGCTTTCCTTGACTTAGCTGAAATTCAAGATTTGGCCCTAGAAGCCTTAACTGGTGCAAAGGTCTAGGTATGGCCCTTGGAAAGGAGGTGGTTTGTCCGCAGATATTACTGGGGAAAATGGACTTAAGCTTGCTGCCTGGCAGAACCTGGTTTGATCAGTCCAGATGGATTCGTTCTCAAGTTATTGGCACTTGACGATTTTATTTTTCCAGTTGTCTTCGTTTCAGATCATTGGATGGGCTTTAAAAGATAGTGGGCAGAGCTAGAAACGAGCTTCATTTATTAAACAATAAAACTCACAACTACATCCAGAAAGTTTCAGTTACAAAATTGCATTGGCTGCTCCACAGCAACGTAATCCTTATGCCATTACAGACGACTAATCGAATGATTGGATTTAATCTTCTCTACCATCACAGACGACCTAGAATTAGGCTGCTTTTTTTTCATTATTTCACATCAGAAACACTTTACTGAATATTTTAAGGCTTGCTGCAGATATTATTCATGAAAAAATGATTCAAGATATTCAAGACTGAAATATCAGATGACCCTGGCGGATTTAATTACCTACTTATAATTGCTCATATTAGCTGCTTTGCTTTTTGGTTCTCATGGGATGAGGGGCTCTCATATAATTGAGCTTCTAACGCTTGTGACCATGCTTACGGTCAACATTTTTTCTAGTGAATATTCTCTTCCGACATTTTCCCAGAGAACCTTCTTGCTAGTACAGCAATGTACTAGAAGAGCTGCAGAGTGCAACGGCGCTGCTGCTGAGAACGTACAACAATTGAATTCCCTAATGGGTTTTTGAGGCACAGGATTCAGTACACGAGAATACATCGCATTTTTAAAGATTTGCTTTGCTTTCATATACATACATTGACTGTGAATCTCCCAAAGTATGTTTTGGTCTTATAAATCCTTGTGGTGGGGGGGGCTCCAGGGTAAGGCTTCACTACAGCATTCACCAAATACCACAGGGATGCCTAGAGTTCAAAATACGCTGTGCGCTGTACAAACATACACAATGAGAAAGTGCCTACACTGAAACCGCAACAAGTCACATAGTCCAGCAGAAACCTAGTCTGAGAAAGAAAATGAACACGAGGGAAGTGAAATAGTTTTTCAAGTGTCCCCGGAGAGACGTTCAAAAGGCCGAGAACTGAACTCCTGTATCCTAAGGTCCAACACAGTATTTAAAACATCATCCCCTGCTTTCTGCCTAATTAAACCTCACTATATTATACCTAAAATTACACAGATAATGGTACTGTGAAGGCTTCATAAAGGCTACCCTCATTAGGAAACTCTCACATTACCCTTGAAATTTTAAATACCATTTTGCTCCATCTTCCACAGAAGATTAACCTCTGTCGATCACTTTGTCCCTGTCCTGAACGAACAACTGGGAAGATTTTGCTGCAGTTAGGCTCCACCAAATGCATGTGCACACTCAATGCATGTATGTTTTTACTAAGGAGGAAAAACACGCACACACGCAGACCAAGATATTTATCCAACCTAGTTCGGTTCCACTGCAGAACTTCTGAAGTATTTTATGTGCCCTGGCTCCACTGGAATTAGAGAAGCAGCGCAATGCAAAAGACTCAGTGCAAACAAAGACCAGCCCCATTCCGTACTTTTTTGACTGATTGCTCCTAACAACAAAGGGGGAATCTCTGGGTCTAGAGGGACAGATTCACAAGAAAAGTTTAAACAAAAAAGCAGTTGGGCCAAAATGGTGACTAAAGAGCTCAGTTCAACAAGCTAGAGCGACTTCAGTTGTGCAGCCACCAAGGATAGAGGTGGAATTGTTTAAGACGGTTCAAGGAATTAAAATTAGCAGCTACGGGTTTCAACTGAGTCTGAATTTCCTATCCAGGAGGTCCATTAGACTCTGACATAGTTTTCTATGTGAAAAGGTAGGAGAAGCACCACGGCTCGAATTATTTAAAACCAGACAGGATCAGGCTCGGGTGAGAGCATGGCACAGGGAATAATTCTGTCAAGAGCCAACAAAATGAATGACCTAATAGGTCTCTTTTCCATTTCTGATTTTTAGCACATGAAATGCAGTACCACGGCTTTGGCATCTCATAGCAATGCGAACATGTGTCCTAAGACTCAAAAGAGACCACCGTGAGCCTATTTTACAATATAAGCATTGTTTAGTAATGGTCCCCATCACTGCAGCAATGCTACAGCGAACTGCATAATTGTGGGTTATTATTATTTCTTTGTCTAGATTGTTTAATTGAGATCAAAGCTGCATTGTAATAAGCACCATGCAAGTGCATATTGAGATACTTCCTGCCCCAGGCAACTGGCAGAGATAAAAGAAAGAAAATGACTTCTCCTGTGACATATTAATTGTGGAGCTTGAGAGAGAGCTCAAGTCTCGTGAGATCCTGTCCTTCTCCTCAATCCCAACACCCCACCAAGCTGACTCTCACCCCTCTCTACATTAGCACTAGGAAGCGATCTGGGCCAAGCTCTCTAGAGTCCCCAGCAACTCTCAGCGCCACAAGCTTTAAGTATTCACATCTACACGTAAGTTCAAGTATGCTCACTATAAATATTGGCCTTTTTAAATTATAAAATATTTTCAAAAGCGTTTTCTTCTGAAATGTGGTCATCAGGACATTTCTCAACCGTTTTCCAGTGGGCCTTTCTTCCACATACAGGCATATAAGCAACGATAATTCAACATGCTGCATTTTATATGTTCCCGTAAGAAAACTGACTGCATAGGAGATACATAGTCGCAGCAAGACGGAGTTCATTTTTAGCCTGACAGCACCTCATGCACGTGCTCGGACAGTTCCCAGTTTCAGTTCCCTAGCGTGATGCCTGGGGCCTCCACCGCAGCTGTGGATCCAACTCCATGGATCCCGTCCCTGACCCCACAGACCGACTGCCCGCACGACCTGAGACTTGCCCAAAGATCGTTAGGCTTCATCTGACATGAGTTACCATCATCAGACCTGACCGACCCTGATGCACGTTCCTGGCAAGGCTTCGGAGCCGCCTTATCCCCATGGACTTGCCTGAGGACCTGGACTCCTTCTTGAATCTGGCTACCATCACAGCGCCCGGCCAGCGCCCACCACGGCAACTGCCATGAAATCTCATCTATCAGTAAACGCACGCCCAACTAAATCCGAAGCGGCAAACGGTAGTAAGATGTTTCTAGCTACAAATCAACCTCAACAGCCTCCCTATCTGAAAAGAGAGTTGTGACTACTTAAAACGAGCTGTGCAATAAGTCTGCTGTAAGAATTCATCAATTCTGGGAAGCCTTTAGTGCATTTGGAGTGCCTCATGGACATCCCCATTACCATCATCACCGCTCTTTGATCAGAGTCATGTAGACAACCAGGCTATTGCAGCCAGATAGACGTTCTTAAAAGGCTTATCAATATTCAGACCAACCTTTTGGATTTTTAACGAGGAAGACAGGGTTGGTGGGTCTTTCAGCAGAACACGGATATCTGTTGGACAAAAAAAGATAGGTAAATTCTTACACTTAAAAGAAAAGTGAAAACAAGATTAAACATACATAAGACGCATGCAATGTTTTTTCCACCCACTCTCGGACGAAAGCTAAAACTTTTCTAAAACTTCTTACCACATAAATATTCCACGTGTCAACACATAGGCAATCAACATCAAAGCACTGTAAAGATTTTAAACATCTCAGAACCTGTGCGTAATAACTACATACCAAAAGCATTCACCCACGTTTACAGATATGAAAATGAAGATACGTAGGACCATACACTTCCTCATTTGCTGTATCAAATGGGAATTACAGGAACAGCGAATCTGGCTGAGAGAAGTTCAACTGATTTGCTTACGGTCACAGAAGAAAGTCCAGGACTAAGCCAGAGTAAGAACTCAGGAGTTTACAGTCCTATTTTTAATCCACTTGGTCATACGGACTTCTTCATTTGTCAGAGAGATTAATGTTCTGTACTTCCGTTAGTACTAAGAAAAAACCTTCTGACATGTATTCCCTTTGAGACAGCTGATACTATGATAGATCAGATACCAGGCTCAGCAGACCCGTGAATCTCATCTGGTAGAGTAAATCTCATTCAGTATACTCTCTTTTAAACTAACACGGCTTCTTAATATGTTCATCAAGTCTTGGCAATCTCTTATTTAGACATACACCTTCTCCAAAATTATCTGCAGAAGAAGGTTACAATGGCAAAATGGTTCCTAATTATCAGTCCAGCAAAGCGACACTCAAAGATCCTTAACCAAATCAACCCCACACCTTGAAAATTACTGTACCCAGCCTGGACAGCTGTATTCCATGTCTGACGATGCCCTCGTTACAAATGCTGAATATTCAACCACTTTTTCCTGGCAATAAAACCTTGACACAAGCTTAGGAAATCTACTGTACTTGTGAGAAAAGTGAGGTAAGAATATGTTTCCATTTACTCTCTGAAAGAAAACAAAAACAAATGACCTGCTACTGAATGTCCTTTTTATTCAGAAAAATAAATCAGCAGCAGTCATTCTAATTTATGTTTCACTAACTTTTCCCTGAGATTATTTAAAAGAAAAAAATGGCTGTCTCCATGGTTAGCTGGGAGAACATGAAGGATTTTCTGGTCCTGTTTGTTCTTGTTAGGGGCCATAAAGTTCTGCTCCTTGCTGAGTTCCAGTCGCTGCAAGCCCGTCCAAATTTCAATGGCATTTCATAAATTAAATTAAAAAAGAATATAGTACAATATTAGTGGCAACTTCAAGGGAGAAAAGAAGGGACAGGGAGTTAGCTTCATCTGTGGTTCTGACTCCTACTAAATCAATAGACTTCAGTTTCTCTTTTCAGCTCAGCCAATGCCAGAATCACTTTTCCTCTCTCAGAAAGAGAAGACTGAAAGAGAGTATGGGGTCAGGAAAAGTATATATCCCCATGGAGCTGTTCATGTCCTAGGAAGAACAAATGGAAGATGAGACCACATTACTGGAACTTAAGTGCTTTTCTGGAAGAAACTTTGTGAAGGGCAAGCCATAGGGCTGCGATGCTGTTGCAACATAGAGGATACAAGGACGGGAACTGGACCATCAGCAGCCAGACAAACAAGTAAGAGAGAGATAGTACTTGTCATAATAAAATTACAGCTTAAACATCCAAAATAGAAGAAACCCTGAAGTACAGAAAACTAAACTGCTCGAGCACAGAAAAAGAAGTAGCTTCTCCATCATGCTGCAGAAAGGTTGTCCAGTCAGTGACTCAGTCTGGCCCCACCCCTTGCAAGAAGCTCCCACCAGATGGAACAGAAAATGACCGCAGGCCCTGTGAAAGGTGTATCAAATACCAGTTGAACGATTCAAAGTGACCGAGGAAATCTTGACCCTACAAGTATTTCCTGGGAAAGCAGACAGATTAAGGAACTAGGTAGACAACAATTTCTTGCTGTGCACCAAAGTCATTTTTTTCTAGCAGAGGCAGCGTGGAGCATTAGTGTATAGTCTGAGGTGCGTGTGACCTACCAGACCGACAGATATACACCTCGGTGAATTTGGTGCTCATGCTGCTAACGGCAATTGTCTTTTTGCTTCGGGGCTCGGCATCTGTGTTTTATAGCAAGAACATGTGATTTCTATTGTTGGGATCATACGACACTCAACAAACAGTAGGGTGGCTGCTTGCAGTCTAAAGTCTGAAATAGCACGACTGAGGTCAGGATTAAAGACTCATTAGGATATTGCAGTTTGAATAATAGCTTTGCCCTTGATGCCAGTATAATGGAAGACACATAGCATAAGGCTTTAATCAGAACAAATTACCGTTTTTCACGGTGAGAACACTTTAAACATATTTTGTTGTCGTAAAATTATTATAAACGCATAACTGCTACACCTTCCGCATCACTGAATGCCTGATGCCTTAAAGACTTAGCTCAAGCCTTCCAGTCTATATTCTGTGCAATACCCTTTTTTTTCTGTACACTAGGGACGTGATCTAAAAATGGCTGGAGTCAGGAGAAATCTCTGTGACTAATTGTACTCCCTTCTTTTGGCATTTTTCTACTAATAAAGATTTATATAAATGAAATCTTTCAGTTGGAGAGCATTTTGGTAACAATAACTGAGAAAACAGAATTAGTTCATTTGCTACTCTATGCCTATTTGTCTATCAATCTCTGGGTTTCTTTTCTCTGTTTCTGTGCTGGGGTTTGGTGGCTTGTTTTGTTTTGCTTTGTTTTTTCCCAAAATCAGAAATTAATATATATGTAGTTACAGGACAATATATTCTGTGCTATGTAGTCTGCATATTTAAAATTCAATTGTATGAATACCACTTGCACCATGAAACTTCTGGTTTAAGGTGCGCGTTCCAAATGTTCTATATTGCTGCCTGATACTACATTTTGCTTTCTGGTGTCACAAACACGAACAGACCATCCGCAAATACTTTGCACTTGTATACGGCAGGACTGTATCAGACCACAGCTGAAATACAGCAAGGCAGAAAATGCAGCTGTATATGAATACTTTCACAAAGGAACTAGAGAACTGTGCTCTTGTGCTATACACTATTAGGCTAGGCTATTCAAGGGACAGTGGTTGTTGCAAATAGAAAAAAAGAGTATTTCACTGAAAAATACCTCCCGGCTGCCATATCCAACCTTATCTTAAATATGCAGATGCAACCTTGACAATCCAGTGTTATTTTATTTTTTTTATGTGAAAACAATTTCTTCCAAATTATTCTGGCTTATGAGTTATTTTAATTTGTTATTTTTTTCATTTGAAAACGTCAACTAAATTAAAATGGGATGATTTCCTTTATTAAAAAAAGCCGTGACGTTAATGACTGAAAAAATATTGTCCCCATCTAAATTTTTCATAGAGACAAAAATCATTTCCTTATCAATTCTATGTACTGATTATAAAACAGGGTTTATTAGCTGGAAACATTCAGCAAAGAATGGGATTAACAGCTTCCATACTGATGGTGAATTCCGGCAGGCTGACTCAGTATTTCAGAAATACTTTGTTTCCTAGCCCAGTTTTCCGTCTCTTAGCCAGCTGGTAAGCCTCCTCCTTCTGGGACTTCCCACATGGCTTCTACTGAGCCCTAGCCTTCTGGGGGAGCCTAAAATTAGCTTTCACTCCTAGAAGAAATGGCCTACTTGCCTGGCAAGAGGATATTACACCATCACCAGACAGAGAAACAGAAATGGGCTGAGGTGCAAGAACCAGAACTTGGAGTCTCCTGGTCTCAAAAGTATACGTTGATCCTTGCGTCTACGGTTCCAGATGCCTGCTTTCCTCCTGGCTCTGCGATTCCTGCATTTCTGAATGCATGTAAACCTCTGCATGGAGGAGTATCATTTGCCTGAGAGTACACTCAAGCCTGGTGCTAAGGGCCTTCTCCTGCAACGTGGATTCAAACCCGCTCAGATGTCCTATCAAAGGGCATAGGACCAGGTGCCCAACTTAGCTTTACTTAACATAAAGTTGTGCAATATCTAGTTACAGTAACGCATGTAAAAGAGGTACGAATGAAAAACAAGCCATTAAAATGAAGCACATTCATTGAGTTTTAGATCCGCTGTTGGGTTTGTCTGACCTTATTAGAAAACCATATCTCCAGTAGCTCAACTTGGGCATTCATAAACTGAGACGCCCATGACAGCAAGTTCTGGAACAGCAACAGTATTTTTTCCCCCCCCAATATATGCACCATGCCTCATGTAGTGGAGATGAGATGGGCGAACTGCTGTAATTAGGAACGTGAGTTATTATCACTTATGTAAAGCACCGCTGCAGGTTGCATGTGAATTTGCAAACTTTCTATGACGTTTCTTTCCAAATCAGTTCTAGTTTCCTTTGAGCGGCATGATACGGTGCAACGCTTGACTCACAGAGTCACGCATGATTCATATAATATATAACCAAGCGTGCCCAAAGTACCCTTCCCACTGGATGTCAGCTGGCCTCCTGCCCCACTGCTGGCTTCTTCTAGGGGAAAGCATTGCAGGGAAATGGGAAAGCTGACTTCATTTGTTTTTCCACACGAGAACAGATGATTTTTGGGAAATGGCAGTTCAGAAATGTTTTGAGCAAACGTTAATGAGTCCACCGTGGTGATGTACAACGTGAGATGCAGACCCTTGATTGTACACGCAGTGCTGTTTATGATCTTACGGCATTTACCTCTCCTTTCTTTCTCCACCTTTGTTTTCAGCATATTTTAAAGTGCAATGCAAAGAAACATTCCATCCCCCAGGCCCCTGACCTTTAAATTGAGCTCTCAGCAGCATTCCACCATCACAGCTCTAAGGAACATTGCATTTCCGCTTTTAAGAGGCAGATTTAAATAACAGAAAATATATTAAATGGAAAACACAACTGGTCAGAAAAGCCATTCCATAAATTATGGGCCCGGGCAACAGAGATATTTTTCTCTGGGAATCAGTCACTCACGGTCTCCAGGCTACACGATGCGTAAGAAACAAAAAAA